CATGGGGCTTCCCCTGACCTAGATTCTATCTCTCCGTCATTGGCAGAATCACTGATTAATGCCTACAGTTCAAAATAGTCATTTTGACTGACCGGAGTCTATGGTGGGCATAATCTATGTGAATAGGCGGGTTCGGAGAACCCTCTGCCTAAATTATTCCAGGTGTTGACAACTCTTTGATTGAAACACTTTTGCCTCAGTGGTTTAGTAGCTCTAATCACAGTCCCTGAGGGAGTGTGCTCTAATTTTAGGTAGCTTGTATGCGTGGCCCTGAGTCCTTGTTGTGCTCTAGGCTATCAGGAAAAAATAATGAATTGGAGATTTTGATATAATTGTTAATAAGCTCGTACACATGTATCACATATCACCTATCAAGCCAAGGTTAGTTGCTCTACCTTGTACAGCTTCAATTTCTTCAACATTTTTCTGAAAACATCTGCAGGTATATGATACTCTAGAATTGGTCTCACTAAACCCTATATAAATATAACAGTGATGAATGGGTCTGAGAATTTTTCTAATGACACCCTAAATGCGGTTAGCCTTAGTGACAGTGGTGCAGTATATATATTGAAATGAAGATTCTTATCAATTATTACATCAAGATCTTTTTCAAAATCAGTATATTCAATACTTTGTCTAGAAATTGAATACGAAAAGTCAGGGTGTCCTTTGCCACTTGCTCGGGTGAAAACAAATTTTCATATCTCTGACAAGTTCTGCATATTGTTAATTTCCAATTGGACATCGCCACCATCATTAGTACTGCCAATTTCTTTATATAACTTGGTATCATCTGAAAACAATTTGACAAATGAGTGGCTGACACATTCTGGTAAATCGTTAATACTAGACAAGAAATAAGATTGGTCCAAAGACACTCCCTTGAAGTATTCTGCTTTTGACCTATGCCCACTGTGATGCTTCGCCATTTACATTATCTCATTGTTCTTTCCCTGTCATTTCTGATCAAGGAAAGAAGTTATATATAGCAAGACCAGTCAAATTGTCTTGTCTAATACAGTGATCAATTTTTCTATTTGTTTCTGGAAGGTCAAGTTAATTAAATTTTGTTGATGTTACAGCCACCACCAAAATAAACTGAAAACCGGTATTTGCCAGTCAATTTCCCTTGGAACATTGCGATATCACTTGGAACATTCTTAGCATTGTTATGAATTTGCATTCAACCATTGGAAATTCAGCAAAATGTTGCATAAATGATAAAATTAGGGGTTGACCATTAGAAACTTAGGGCAAGGCAAAGAACTATCCAAATTTCACTTTTTCCTTCACTTTGTTTTGTGCTATATTTTCTCCAGTCCAATGATGAATTCACTATTATTTCCTCTGTGTGTAAAATTTTTTCACTAAGAAATAGCAGTACAGACAATTTTTTTTATGTTATTGATCCCTGCAGGATTTATTCTCGATTCTGCCACTGCGCAGATTTTCTAATGGTCCAACCCTTATACTTGAACTTTATAAGTTCACAGTGGAAGTTGCATGCAGTCAAGGTTGAGATGGAATGCTGATATCATATATTGCACACATATTAATCTTGTTTAGGCATGAACATTTTTTTTAAATACAAAACATTTATGAATCTTTTTGTAATTTTCAAATCACAATTCCTTAAATGATGGATACCACCTGCAACCTGTATGGATTTCTTCAACAAGTCAGTGTTGAGTTTCTCATCCTAGTTACAAATATGATATTGTACACATTTTTATGCCAGGTGATATAAATGTTGTCATCTCTCCTGACATTTACTATATGCAAATATCAAGTACAAAAATGTGATGGCATCAATTATACCGACCTGGTTGAATATAGTTATATTGTATTTGTATATCAATGATACTGATCTCAGAACTCTGCTAGTGGCTTTGGCTGTTTCTACATGTCTAAATCTAATTCATTGTATCTGGTTCATAATGGGACGTGAATTTAAAAATAAATGCTAAACACTCCTGTATCTTCTTTTTTTTTTGACTAAAATAATAAACAAATTACATGTATATGTTATCACAGGTTTGAAGAATGGATGAAATGGATGGTATAACATCACTGTTTAGTCGACTATCGGCTAAGTTTATCGACCCAGAACTCAGTAAGCCACACCTGGTGCAGCCGAAATTCTGTAAAAAAGAAGTGCACCGTAGACTCCGAATCAAACTATACAATGAGCTTTTCAAACTACGTAGAGGACTGCATGCAAATAATGAATCAGTTTGTCAGAAGAGTAGTAAAAGTCGGTTCAGTGCTAAGGATAAGTTTTTTGTGTTGGCGTATGAATATAGAAAAAAGAGACAATTCGACAATGCTGATAGACTAGAAGAGTTGGTCAACAGTTTACCGCTTGGTGGACAAGGTAAGCTATGCTGTATATATGAATTAACAAACTGTAAATAGATGAGCAGAATAAGATGGTGCTGAGAGACATTCGTAATATGAGTCTCATTGTTCATTTGTGTCCAGATTTCAATTTAGATTTTTTTTATGTGTAGCATGCAAGGTACATGTACATTTACCATGTGTGTTTTTTTCTCAGATTTGTATCTTATTTGAGAAAATCCAATTTCATGTAGCACTGTAACCATTAACATTTGGTATCCCAGTACTAGATGCATGGTCTAATGTTGGTCCTCAAAAAGGAGGTGAATGTTTTGTTTGAAATAAAAAAAAAATGGTTTTACAGAACCACGCAACTGATAATTAATGATGAAGTCATAATTTGATGGGCAGTACTGAGAGTAGGAAATACTGAACCGTTGGAAATGTTTATAATAATTTGCTTAAGTTCTTTTATCAATCATTGAAACATTCCCAGTACATCACTGTCATTCTTGACCAATTTTGTTTTCTCACTAGATGACCACACAGAGCTGGAGTCAGTGCTGTCGTTCCTTCTTTTGTTAGCCAACATAGATGCAAAAAAACCCACAGTACCAGTTGGACATGCTGGCCTGATACTGCCAATTAGAACAAAATCCAGGAAGGTCAGTCTTCTAAAAATGTTAATATTTTGTATAAGACTGTTGAGATCCAGTCTATAACATACATGTGTGGTACAAATAGTTCTTTTGTTTTATAAGTAAATTTTCAAGTTTATTAGAGGTAGTGTTGGAGTTGAGAGCCTGCAGCTTGAAAACTCCTTTACCGGTGACATTCTTATACTAGGACATTCAAAATAGTTGCCGAGCACAGTTCTGGATTTATTTACTTTATGTCATTCATTTGTTCTTTCACAGAATACATATGAAGTAATGCCCACAGGTCCTCTGTGTTTTGGTGACGGTAGAGTTGTATTCAAACCAGATAATCGACAATATATACACTACCCAGAGTAAGTTAATCATTATGACATTGGATATCATTATGAAATCCAAGCATGCCACTGGGATTATGCAGTGTTACCCAGTGTTAGCCACAGGTTACCCAGTATCACCCATGGGGTACCAAGTGTTATACCCACAAGTTGATCAGTATTTTTCAGTGTTTAATACCCATTTTTCTTCAATAAACTGTTACAAAGACTGAGGAAGGAAGATCTGTGTAACCTTCTATGTATGTTCTCATTTATACAAAGAGATCATTCTGTCTTTGACTTTCACATTTGCTTTCTCTCACTCAGGCATTTATTTAGTGGTGCTACGGCTGGTGAAGACTTGATTCCAAATGAAAACCTGATGAAATCTCTTAGTGTACGGTCAAGTTTTGTGTCTTGTCTCTATGTATCTCCATATCTCTGCCTCCCATTGTAATGAGGTTACATAAGACAGATTTCTACTTTACTTCAGTTATTATTGCAAAGTCATATTTCATCTCATCTCATAACATGTGACAGTCTGTAACTTAATGTTAAGATGTGTTCACTGTTTTAGTCATATTTTGTAGCGAAGCTGTAGAGATGTTTACGTTGACAGTCAATTTATTGACACTAGATTAAAAACAGCTTTCTCTTTATCATCTTTTGGCACATACCCTTGATTGCGTGTACTTTACATGAGTCTAAATTTGATAGATATTCTCTATGTTGTGTTTAATATGGTCTTATGTAACTTATACAACAATTTATGAAATAATTTGTTTGTTTTTACAAAATTAAAATGCCCTGCTTTTATTTTAATTTACTCGCATAACATATAGTCACACCACTCTGTCACTGAACTTGAGTATGTTTTACCCATTTAGGTGTTCGATGCATTACCCGGCCAAGACCTGAGTGGTAATGGATTGTTCAATGTGTCGGTAAGTCTTGTAAGCTTGATAAATCCAAATAGTCATTTGCAATAGTAGAGTTTTTAGGCTTTGAACGAATTTACTATATTTAGTGCGGAAGATTTAGTTGTTTTCTATTTGTATATAAATACATGTAAAATTTAACGATTGCAAAATTTTCCATCTGTTTGAGACGTCAGGCATTCAGTGCTGTTAAATATTGATGAGACACATCTTTTAAATTTGCATACTGAAGTCAAGAGTGATGGTCAATGCCATACCAAAGTTTGATCACTGCCATTGTAATGAGTGCACAGACAAATATTAGTGAACATTTATCACGAGTCACAGTTGCTCAATCCTTGATATTGCACATTTACGCTGCTAAAAAAACTGCTGTGTCTAATACGTTTTTCATTTGGATACCACTTGTTTACATGTGCTAATATCTTTATGTGTCTGTTCATCTTCATCTGCAGGGACTCATCAAAGACAGCTATGAGAGTTCGCTACAGAGTAGTCTCTTTTACGGTTTAACGCACAGTAAAGTCCAAAGTGTTGAAGTTGAATTAGATCTGCCTGAGTTACCAGATAATATGGATGCTATGGCTCTAGGATTACCGGTACCGAAAACATTGCATACAGAGGTGAATATGTCTCTCAATATGGACAAGTACTCATTTGAAGATCAGATACAAGATGACAATCATTTTAATGTTAGAAAAATCATCATAATCAAGCATCATTTTCTGGATCCATACTTCTGACATGTTTATGTTCCAACTATATTACTATGAACAAAACTATGACATCTTAAATTTGATAACTAATGGGAATTATGCCATGCATGCATGGCTTGTATTTTGATGAATGCTGTTGTGGAATTGCATCTGATATGTCTTGAGTGATTAGAGTAAAATTTCACACGTACATCTTACTTACTGTCACACATTTTTATGCAATTCAATTAGCAAGGTTGTAATTTAATTACCTGACTGTTTTTTTTGCTTTGTTTGCTATTTTATGATAGGAACTGTTTCATCTCTGGCTTACCGGTATTTATCATGGTGCAATGTTTTTTCAATGTTCAATTCAGCTATTTTTATTGTTGGAATCAAACCAATTGAAATCACGAAGGGTGGCTGGAAGATTTATTAAAAATAAAATTTGCAAGCTGGACATGTTGGCACATTCAAGAAAAGTGAAAATATTCAGACAAGACACCATGAAAAAATTGCACTGTTCATGCTCTTTCCCCCCAATGATTTTAAATGTTTGACGCCTCAGTAAATCTTACTGATAGTCATCAATATTTTCCTTGACAGAGCCCTGGAGACGATGAGGGCTACCACGAATCCATATCAAGTTCGTCCATTGCTGAACATACCATTGAGCCAACAGAAGACATCTGGGAAGCTGCATTACATTTCCAACCCAACAGAAACCATACATGGGAAACGATTGGAAGGTACGTGCATTTGCATAAATACAGTCCATATTGGGACTCATTGATTGTGTCTCCTTTCAGTCAATACTCTGATCAGATCAGGTTAATTTTGACAAATAGGCAATCTCATTCACACCTCATTCAAGCTGTTGTTTATTTTTAGGATTGATAAAGTTTACATTGCTTTTTGAAGACTAGATAGTTGTCTCTAAAATGTGTCGATTTATTGGTGTACAGTAGTCATTTTACCGTGTGTCTTGCCTAAAAAAAACACTCTTTCATATATCGGTGAACAGCGTGCTGAATAAATTGTTTTGTTTTGATAAACTGTTATGCTCGAGTCGCAAATTGAGCAGAGGACGTGAATCAGACTTTTCATTGGGCTGGACAA